GTCACAGTTTGTAGAAACAACAATCAGCATCGTCTACTTTTCTGAAATATCCTCGTTGTAGCAGAAGTTGAGTCTCACAGGGTTGAACTGTGGGTTGAGATCCAGCAGCTCTCTGACAGACAGAAGATCTGAAAATAAACCAAAGCTGCTCCTCAGCCACTCTGAGCTGCTGTTGAAGGACGCACACCCTGGACCTGAAACACAGTGAGAACAATCTTCAACTAAGTCTGAACAAGTTTGTAACAAATCACTGCTCGGTCCCTGACGTGTGTACCTGAGTGAGGCGCTGACAGGAAACGGAGGACAAAATTCTTCAAGACCACGTGTTGCTGTTCTAATGACATGAGCTTGAACTGAGAATTATACACCTGCAGTCTGATGGCACGGAAAAAACACACAGTTAGAAAAAAACAACCACCTCATCTGTTGTTGAATATGAATGGGAAAGGCACCAGATGACAGTAAACTGCAGGGGTTCTCCAGCGTTTTGGGTTCAGGGACCCCTTACAGAGAAGAAAAAGTTTCAGGGACCCCCTCATAACCCTCATGTTTATTAAATAATTTTCTTCAATTTGTCTCTTTAATGCAATGGAAAAATGTGAGTAACATTAATACTTAATGTGGGTCCTCCCCCAGAAATTTTTGAATAAAGTAGATATGATTTCCTGCATTTTTGTGTATTTTAATGGGTTGTTAAATATCTACGTGCTTGTAAAAAAAAAAAAAAATATATATATATATATCTTTTGCCGACCCCAAACACCAGCTCATGGACCCCCGGGGGTCCGGGGACCCCAGTTTGAGAACCACTGTGTTACAAAACCATTTTAAAACATCTTAGAGCAGCTCTATTTTCTCTCATAATACTTTTTTTTTTACTCTGCCAGTAAGGAAACAAAACAATAAAACACTTTCACCATAAGACAACAATTTTAACTGCACACTTCAAAAATTAAACCTATCTCATTCTAATGCATCGTCGTATACCTAACCTAAAACAAACTAAATATTTTAGAAAAACATAGTATACCTTGTAGCATAAACCCATTTTATTATTTTTTTTCTACAATATTAAAGCAATAGTTTAAAAAGTTACGAGGCGCTCTGTGGGAAGATTATTAATCATTATACCTTACCAGAAAGTTTTTTTAAATCTCCTCACTTTGCAGAAGCAGTTAAATTTTGACCAGATTAATGAGTTAACAACTATTCAAGAGGTGCCGAAACAAAAGTAGACCGCTTCCATCCTAAAACAACTTCAACAGTTTCAAGAGTGTTTCATGTGAATGATGTTTTATAAACCTTTACATTGATACCAGTATTGAACTGTATAATTACTTCAGCAGAAATATAAAGATATAAACTCATATGTAAAATAACCATCTGATACAACATTTACAACAGTGTAAGAATAGTGTTTGCATTAATGGCTGGGAAATCTTGAGAAGTTTTAAGAGCAGAAATCTACTTTGTCCTTGGCTGGCTCCGATTGACAATCTGCTCAAAGTTCAACTTTATTTCTGAAAACTGATGTTTGCTTGTTCCTTTTTTTTTTCAATTAATTTCAAACTTTAAAATTCAAAACAAAATAAAATGTATACACTATTATATAAAAATTCAGTCAATTAAACAAACATAATAAACATTATATCAGTAATCCAGTGTTTGAAAGGGAGTTGAAAGAGCCTTCTACAACAGTGGTCCCAACACCATTCCTTGAGGAACACCAAATTGCATGTTTAGTTGTTTCCCTACTCCACCACACCTGATTCAGTGATTTAATGACTTTCTCTTGTTCTGCAGAAGCCTGTGAACCACCCAGTTATTAAACTTAGGTGTGCCTTAGCAGGAAACAACTAAAACATGCAAGATGGTGTTCCTCAAGGACCAGTGTTGGGACCCCCGTTTTAAAACACAATTAGCTTGTTTAAAAAAAGGTTGTTTATTTTTTGCAAGTGTTTGACATTTCTTAAATGTCATACATTTGAAATTGGAAAAATAAAAGCAAAAAAAGGGATGGAAAAGGGGTTTAAAGCAAGTATTTAAGACAAAAAAAACAATTGTTTTATGATATTAAATCTAACAGTTATCAAGTTAATGTACCCAAGCTTTGAATCCAGAGACTCTTCTGTTGGATTCATTAAACTATATTAATTAAATGAGTCATGAGGTTAAGTTATAAACTCATGTGATGACGAACACTCACATCTGCTGGTACGACTGACAGCTGATGTTCCTGTTGGTCAGACAGCGCAGGAACCTTCCTGATGCGAACGGCAGGAAGCCACTCAGACGATCCGAGAACCACAGCTGGATTGTTCCGCTATCCTCCAGCTGCTCGTCAGTCAGCAGCGACACCCGGAGCTCGCTGATCACATCCAGAACCTCCTGTGCTGATGGTCCCATCAGATCAACTGACTGTAGGAGGCACATTTTAAAGACAGTTTGGATTATTTGCAGACAGTCACCAGGAAGTCTGGATGTTTGCTAGTGATTACTGACCACATTAGCCAGGATGTCGAGGGCTGGGTCCAAAACGCTGGAGAGATGAGTGAGCAGCATCTTCCACAGGACTTTGGAGTAGCTGCTGTTTCCAGGCAGATCACACCTTATGAGGGAGGCCAGCTGATTGGCTGTGAAGCTCTCCAGCTGCGAGTATGAACCAGTTCATCATCTGTGCTGAAATCTGAATGTTGGACCTGTTCTGGAGCGGACACTCACCTGCGGACAAGCGTATTTCTCCAGGGTAAAGTTGCAGGAAACATGCGTGGATGTGTTCAGGTAGGACTGCAGATCAGAGCTGTTGGGACACAGGAAGAGACAAACACACGTCAACATATAGATATTTGTATTAACCTTAACGGTCATCTGTAATTAACTCCAAGTGGAATACCTGTCGATGCCGCTGCAGACGTTAGTTCCTGTCAAACAGCAAGTAATTAATTAAATCAGCTGCAGTAACACATCGAGTAATCAATGAAACTTTAACGCACAGAAGAGAAGTCGTACCATTGATCTGAGTCTCTGGGCACTGCGAGAAAACGGGTTTAAAAACATGTGAACGACGTTTGAGATTATAAATGTTCATAAATGAGAGGAATGTTATAGGCGGAGAAATAATTATAACAGAGGGAGAGAGAAACACTCACGGTGATGTTGGCTGGTACACACTCTGTCCAAAACAAAGTATAAAAATACTCCATCAGTAACAAACTAATAAATAAAACCACAGTAATAGTTTGATGTTTAAAAAACACAGAAGTTACATTTTATTTTGATGCTTGTCGAGGGATTTATTGGATAATATGCTTGTGGTCAGTTTGATGTTGGTTTGTAGGACGTTTTCTGTTTTAATTAAACTTTTCAGGACCAGTAGTCCTTATGGGGCCCAAAAACTGGTTCAGGATGGGGTTACGCTATAGAAATGAATGGGAGTCAGCACAATACTAATGTGTGTGTGTGGGGGGTGGGGGTGGGGGGTGGGGGGGACAGAAACTCACCCTCTGGTGCGATGTTTATCAGGTCGTCAATGCGAGCCCAGATGACTGGTTCCATGTCCACTGATGCAGATGGTATGGCTCGGAACAATCGGTCGAAACTGCAACACGAATAAAAATAAATTGAATAAAATAAAATTAAAAAACACAAACAAACGAGAATGAAACTGATTTTTTTTTTTTTGCAGATATCTGTCTTTTTTTTTTTTAGAAAAAGAACAAATGCATAAATGTGGAAACGCCTGCGAGTTACATCAGACAGCTCAAACTCATAGTCCTGTCTCACTCTCGTAACAAAACCTTATAATCTAACTGGTCGAATTATTCCCTGCCTCAAAAATTCCTAAAACTTCTAAATGATGTGTAGTTGGTTGAAATTTGTTGCCTTCTCACCAGCCTCAAAGCAGTGGTGATTGTAGCCCCTAAATTTTAACACAGCACCCATGAAAAATAAAGAAACCATCATAAGGATTTTGTACAGAAACAGATCTCAAACCTAAGATTCACCAAAATATTGAATAAATTTGCAATAAATATGGAATAAATGATGACAGTCTTAAACGGGCTTGTAAAATCTATGATTTTCTTTTTTTTTTTTTTGCACGAGTTGGATCCTCAACGCCACCTGTCAATCAATCCAGTAAGCTCATCTGCTATAGATTAGTCGTCCAAAAGTGAAACGCCCTTTGCCTGCAGGAGCTTGGGGGTGGGGGTTGTTAGGATGCATGAGAGAAGTGGAGCGTGCTCTATTCATACAAGTGGAGCTGTTGGTCAGGCTATTTCTTGTTGTACCAGTAACTCTAAAATAGTTATTGAATGGGCAGCATGGTGGGGCAGTTGGTAGAGCTGCTGCCCAGTGGTCTTTCTGGGTGGAGTTTGCATGTTCTCTCCGTGCATGCGCAGCTTTTCTCCGGATGCTCCGGTTTCCTCCCACAGACCAAAAACATGCATGTTAGGCTGATTGGTAACTCCAAATTGTCTCTAAGTGTGAGTGAGAGAGTGAATGGTTGTTTGTGTCCCTGTGATGGACGGGAGACCTGTCCAGGGTGTCTCCCTCCCCTCACACAGTGATGGCTGGACATGGGCACCAGTGACCCCGGCAACCCAAAAAGGAAGAAGCGGGTTAAAGATAATGGAGGGATGGTCTGCAACTCATTTAGGACACTTTAAACCGTCGGAGTACTCACATTTGTCTGTAGACGTTGCACGGAGGACTGACCTGAGACAGTGAAAATGTTCACAATCAGTAATCCAGGATTAATCAAAGTTTAGTGAATATTTGTGTCTGAGTAAAGGCTGTCACCTCGCTGGCGAGCTCAACCACGAAGAGCAAAACCTCTGGAAACCTCCCCATTTGAGGCGACTCCAACAGGAAGTCCAACACGCGGTCGATGACGACGTCTTTCTCTGGTGGGGTGCGGAGAGGCAGCAGCAGCAGCTCTGCCAGCTGCTTGGAGGACAGAACAGGAAGAGCCTCCAACTGAGGAGGAGAGAAGGAGCCTGATCATCCACAGCTTCAAGGGCATCATTTTACTAACTCCTTTGGTAAAGGCTGATTTTAAACAAAAGCACCGAGTGTGTCCGTCTCAGTATTCGGACTTACTCCAGAGAAGTAAGGATTCAGCTCGTAGAAGTCGGTGATGGAGGCAAATTTTGAGAAGGAGCCAAAATTGTCCGTCAGCCATTCTGCGCTGCGGTCGGCTGAAGAGACGCACTGGGAGTCTGAAACATTTCGTACAGTCACAAACATAAATCCATTTTAATGCAAATGGGTTTAATTTACACGATAAAAGAAAGAGAATACCATAGACAAACTATTTAATATGAAAAACATAGTTTTCTGTCATAATCTGTCATTTTGTCTGTTTTCTGTTTGTCTTGTCTTTATTTCTTTTCCTGATCCTTGTTTGACTCTTTGTCTCCCTCTTGTGGTCTGTCCCAGCTATTGCAACTCATGTAATTAGAACAACAAAAAAGGTTGAATCATGTCATCTGGACTTCGTTTTTTTGTTAAAAAGAAACGTTTCGCCCCTCATCCAAGAGGCTTCGTCAGTCTGAGGCCTAGCCATCTGGTATGGACATGATTCAACCTTTTTTGTTGTTATATACCTGGATGACTGAGAAAACAAACTTTGAGCTCATGTAATTAGCTTCTGCCTTGTGTCTCCAGCTGTTTGTCATTTGTCTGTCGTTAGCGTGTGCATATGTCTGCATCTCCTGGGCGTTGTCTCATGAAGGCTCTGTGTTCCTGTTACGTGTTCTGCACCACGTCCTGGTTTTGTCTCCTTTAGTTTCCTCTCGTGTAAGTTGTTGCTGCCACGTCAGCCCTTTTCTTTATTTTTATTCAATCACTTTTTTCTTTTAAACCTGAGTCCTCCCTGCATTTTGGCTTCAACCGCCACCAGATCTTTAGAGTTTTCTAAATCCCCTGCAGAGATCATGTTAGCTAATGTAAATGTTAAAAATAAGAATTTAAATTGTAGAAGAATCACTTTAAAACATGCATCAATGATGTAATTGCTCACAGATTAAACCTATTAACACATATATATATTTTTTTAAAGAAAAGCAGCATTTTTAGTTTAACTTTTAATGTGATGTTTTGTTTGTGGTCTGAATAAGAAGCAAATGTGTTTTTTCCTTTACATTCGTACTTAACAAATGCAAGTTGTTTATTTACTAAGCACATCGTATAAAGGTATTTCCTGTATTTATATGATTATTACTTTGATTTACTTGAAAAATATAGTTTTTTTTCCTTTAATTGCTTATAATATTGTCTACCAGAGTTGTTGCGCTGCACCAGGAAGGAGTAGATGAAATATTTGTAGATGTTGTGACCATACGTGGGATCAGCCTCTGTGAAGCTCATGCGTTCATCCAGGGCTGCCACCCTGCACACAGCAGGACGCAGACAACGTGAGGATTAAGATGATGCAACCACGCACGCAGCTCAAGGAGCTGTGAACTCACAGGGTTTGGTAAGCAGGGCAGGAGAAGTTCTTGGTGCTCAAACAGGAGAGCAGGTTTGGATCTACGTCCGGCAGGAGGGGCAGCAGTTTGATCCGGAACCACAGTTTGATGTATTCTGGGTCCTCCAGGTGCTGCTGGGTCAGAGACGGAGACTCCCCTTCCTTAAATATGTCCCTGAAATCAGAAATGAGCTCCTCGAAGTTCTGGAGAACAAGAAGAAGTGTTGATTAGAGTTGTTGTCAGAGAAACACAAGCCTGGTGTGACTTAGTTTACTCACTGCTGTGGACAACTCTTTCATCAGAGAGTTCAGACGACTCGTCAGCTCGTTAATCAGCTTCAGGACCGTGGACTCGGTCAACGTCAGGTTGGACCGAGCAGCGCAGTGTAAAACATGAGCCACGTCTTCTACAGCATCTGTCAGCTGGCAGTATGAAGGATGAAGATGGGGTCAAACAGAAACTTTTTTATCCTGATGCATGCTCGATAATCCATAATGCAATAAGCATCTTTTTTTTTTTTAGATGTATAAAACAGGAGATTAACGTTATGAACTTTCAGTCTGGAGCCTCACCCCACAGGAGGCCTTATCGAGGGTCAGGCTGCAGACGTCCTGGATTTCAGATGATTCATTGTTCACACCGTTGTCCAAAAAGCTGCATGATGAAGAAAAAAAAAGCTTTTAGGCTCCACGTATGAAATTAAAGTTTACAAATGAGAAACTTGTAGCACTGAGGCCTTTCCCACTAGAAGATGACGGTGAGCTGACGTGACAATGATGTAAACAACAGTTTGTAACATCCTATCTTAAAATAATTACACAATTGTACAGTAACGTTGGTGTAAATTCATTCTGCTCTTTTATTCTACTCAAAAATACATGAATTTAAAGATGAACTCTTTGTTTTGTACTTTGTATTTTACATTTTTTTAAGTATTTTTAATATTGGTTTATGTGCTCTGACTCGACTTCAAAAACATCAAGTCGTTCTCGTTACAGAAAAGGAAAAAAAAATCAGTGTGAACGATCAGCTAGCATTTAGCTGTTTTATGCTAATTTCAGCATTTTCAGCTAATTCCACATTTTTTGCAATCATTTAAACTTTTTTCTGCCTAATTCAGCAAAAACATGCTCTCCCGACTTCCTTCTAGTAACTTAAGCTTCTTTCTGCTTGTTTTAGCTACTATTCAGCTGTTTTTAGCAAATTTCAGCTTTTCTCAGATAATTTCAACTTCATTGTGCTAATTTGCGCCTACTTCAACCTTAGTAGGCATTATTAAGCTCCCCCCACTTACGTTTTGGAAATTTAAGCTTCCTTCTACATTTCTTTAGCTACTATTCAGCTGTTTTATAGAAAAACTGGGATAACTGCCATTTTTACAGCTATTCAGCTGAAACTTGGCATATTTGTAGCTGACAAGGATCTCTAATAGTCTCGACTTCCTTCTAGTAACTTAAGCTTCTTTCTGCTTGTTTTAGCTACTATTCAGCTGTTTTTAGCTCATTTCAGTTTTCTCAGATAAATTCAACCTCATTGTGCTAATTTATGCCCATTTCAGACTTAATGGACACAATTACTTCAATTACTCCACTTCCATTTGAAAATGTAAGCTTCTTTCTACATTTCTTTAGCTACTATTCAGCTGTTTTATAGAAAAACTGGGATAACTCTGCCATTTTTACAGCTATTCAGCTGAAACTTGGCATGTTGGTAGCTGACAAAGATCTCTAATAGACCTGAATGAAAATAAAAAAATCCAAGACGGCCACCTTAGCAAAAAAGGAAAAATACTATAAATCAGCCAGTTATAGTGATATTGAGCTGAACGTTGGTGTAACTGACAATGTTTCCCATCACATGCTGCATGAAAATCAAGAATCCAAGATGGCCACCAACACTACATTTGAATGGATTTAACTCAGCCATTTTTACACACACAGAGCTGAAATTTGGTGAGGTTACAGCTGACAACGTTTCCTATCACACACTGCATCCAAATTAAAAATCCAAGATGACCGCCTTAGCTAAAAAGGAACAAATACAATAACTCGTGCATTTTTAGAGCTATTCAGTTGAAATTTGGTATTGTGGTAGCTGAGAGCAAACCCAAACACATAGTGCTGTCAGATCAAGAGTTTATATCGCAGCAGCCTGGCAGTCAATTACATTAAGAACAATTGTGCACATTCTGCTTCCATCTGATATTTGAAGCTTTTTTCCAACTGTTTTCTTGACATTAGTAAGCAAGAGGCATTCACACTTGCATTTTCAAAGGAAACGCAAATTCTCTAGTGATTCTTTAAAATGGTTATACTGTAAAGTAGTTACATTTTAACAACACTAAAAAGCTGCGACCACAAATATGTTTGGCCGCTAGAGGGCGACAATGAGCTGATAATCCAGTCATGACAAAATCTTCCCATGGCAAAGTATTGTTTTAATACTTTTTATCATGCTTTTATTAATTACAACTCTAAGCAAATCAACCCAGGATATAAAAAAATCAAACATATATTAAATCAGCTTTGTCATACCCCAAAATGTATATTATACTTCAATAATACAACTAAAATAATTTATGCTTGCGCAGTTTCATCTTGCACAAACTTTTACAGATAAAAGAGCTCAATCAAGAGAAGATTCATTGCAGTATTGTATTCCAAAAAAGCTATCATTTTGTAATAAAAGTGTTTATATGACCACAAAGCCATACATTATTAGAAAAAGCTGGTTTATCACAATGTGGCACCACAAAAAAACTGTAGAGAATTAGTGGTTAATTATACTTGAACTATACTTGTATATACAGTATAAATTATAATAGTTAGCATTACTGGTAATCCCATTGTCTGTCAAGTTTAAGATTTTGCTTCACTACAGTTTAAGCTCTAATGTGTTCTTTTAAATGTGCTTTTACAAACAGGTTAGTGTCCTCAGTTGTGAAATGTTTTTATGACAACACGTCCCAGAAACGTAAGGCAAACCAAAACATAAATATAGAAGAAAGTAAACCAAAGTTTAAATGGACCGGCAAGGTTTAAAGAAACAATGTCTCACTGAGTGGAAAACAGTAGATTCAAATCTGGAATAAAATGAGCTCATGAGAAGGAAACAATTCATTTGCTGGACTTACAACAGCTCGTGGAAAGCGAGCGTGATGTTTTGGTGCGTCAGGTCTTCTTCATTTGGCCAAAAGTTTCTCAGCACCGGGAGGACGACCTGCTGGTACCAGGCCTCCACGCTCGTCACGTCGAACTGCGGTGAAACTTCTGACGTGCTCTTCAGCTCGTAGAGGTCGGCCAGTTCAGCCAGAGTGAAGTTGAGCAGGAACTGAGTCAGGGTGGCGCTTTTTATTTCAGATAAATTCCTCTGTGGAGACAACAGGACAGAAGTTTCATTCACACGTTCCTGCTCACAACCAGGCCGACCGTTTCATGAGCTCAGGGTGAGTTTGCAGGACTTTCTTTACCTGGCTGGTGAAGGAAACGAATTCATGAGCAAAGCTCCCAATTGCTGTGAAGGCCGTCTTGAAGCCACTAAAAATCTGCTCGTGTGAAAAAAAAAAAAAAACAGTTGGAAAATGAAACATCTCATTGCATTTAACAGGTATGTCTTATCCAAATACATAATATATCCATAAATCCAGCATTTCTTACTTTTATTTTTGTTCATTAATGTGAAAGAAATGGTCAAAGCTACCCCCTTAAATACATGGATTTAGGAAGTTTGTGATTTAAATCTACCTGCTGAACTGGTCTTGTCTAAGATCCTTGTCTTTAAGGTCAATCTTAGTCTCTATACCTCCTCAGAGAAGCCAAAGACATCTAATCTATCCAATATCACCTTCATCAGTCCGAGAAGACACAAGCATGAGCATGAACTTTGATGTTTTGAACCATTTTAGCTATGGCTGTCTCAGAGGAGCTGACGGGGGAGAGAGCAGGCCCCAGAAACCATCTTATCACCAGCAAACTGGTTGGCCCACTATGTAAATGTGCTGCATGTGGGACTCAGTTTGTTGTGGCTCCTTGGACTGATGAAGTCCTTTGGATGAAGGACAAAATGTCTCAACAAAAAAAGCACTTTGTTGGATTTTTTTAACCTGGATTATTGACCATGAACTTTGATATATTGTATAATCTATGGTTTTTGTTCTTGCTTGTTGTCATGCTGTGACTAGTCAATGCACTTTGAATCAAAACGAGCCATGAAGGAAGTCACATGGAGGGAAAGGACTAAACCCCTGAACTACAAGACATATTTTAATTTTTTGGTGCACATGCATCAAGAGGGGAAGTCTTCTCGTTTCCATCTACATCATATCAGAAGCGTTTTACTAGTTTGTTTTCATATGAAATGGTTATTTATTTGAAGTGCAGTTTTGCAAAAGAGATTAATTGTCATAAACAATGAACAGCTCTGTAATAGTTCATGCTCAATAATCCAGGTATACAATCCAACAATTTTCAGTCAGGGCAGTTTCTTTTTTTCCTGAAACATTTCACCTTCCATCTGGAAGTCTTCATCAGTCAGGGAAACACAACACAAAACTGATTCTTCCCCCAAACAGCTTACTCCAAAGTGGAACAAACCAGTTATGTTGGTGCTAAGATGGTCTCTTTGGCACGCCCCCTCTTCTTGTGCCGGCCCTCTTCCTCGTTGACAGTCATGTCAAACTGGTTCAAAACCAAAAATAGTCCATGCTCAATAATCCAGGTATATCCATCCATCCATCCATTATCTTTACCCGTTTGTTCCATTTTGGGTCACGGGGGTCGCCGGTGCCCATGTCCAGCAATCACTGTGCGAGGGGCGGGGTACACCCTGGACGGGTCGCAAGTCCATCACAGGGACACATAGAGACAAACGAGACAAACAACCATTCACTCTCTCACTCACACCTAGGGACAATTTAGAGTTACCAATCAGCCTAACATGCATGTTTTTGGACTGTGGGAGGAAACCGGAGTACCCGGAGAAAACCCACGCATGCACGGAGAGAACATGCAAACTCCACCCAGAAAGGCCCCTGGACCGGGGTTTGAACCAGGGAGGGACCTGCTCGCTGAGAGGCAGCAGCTCTACCAGTTGCGCCACCGTGCTGCCCTAATCCAGGTATATTCTTTCATATTCTTATATATTATATTATTCTTATTATTGTATTATATTCTTATATATTATATATATATTATATATTCTTTTTAATCCAGGTATTCAATCCAACAATTTTCAGTCAGGTCATCTGGACAGTTTCTGGACCTCCGTTATAGTTTCTCTTCTGTCTTCGAAACAACCTCAGTCTTAATCATTTTCATGCTGGTTTACGTGGACGTACGATTATAAACCTTCACGCTGATGTCGTTGATTTTCATTTGCATAAATGATCATTTCAGAATCCACCTTAAAAATGGCTTATAAACTGTTACTGCTCAAAGGAACGCTCGCAGCGCACGTGTTCATATACGTGAGCTCAGCTGTCGTGCTCGTTGTTTCCTTGCTCTTTGTTGCAGTGCATGGTGTGTATGTGTGACAGCACTGACTATTGTTATTTCTAGTAAAGTCCTCGATCCTTAAATCTGCACCAGGCACAGGAAATAATCCATTTTCTGTTTCTTGTCTTTTGATCCAATGAGCAACACAGCCAACATGTGATGGATCTGCACCTTGTAGTATATTATTTTTGCACATTGTTCCATTTATTTTATACGTTGCAACTTTGACCATTGTTACATCATTTGATCATTGTATGCATTTTGGTTTTTATTAATTATTAAGAAGTTATCTCCCACTGGACCACAAATAATAAGTAGCAATCTTGTATTTATTCCAGATGTTAAAGTACTAGTCCCTTTCAATTAAAAAAAAATCTAATATAAATGTATGGTTATTTACACTGATGACTAAGTTGAACAGCAGGCTGACCGGCAACGGGCGATGTTTTTCCATTCAAAAGTGATTATTTTAAGCACAACCTGGTAATAATAATTTAAATAAAACAATCGGATGCTAAAGTAATTTATGCCTCCTTACTTTCAGGTAGTTGATTTGCCCATCAATTAATTAAATTTTTTTTTATACCTGCTTTGCCCTTTTCAGGGTTGTGGGGCGATTAGTATTTATCTCCAGCAGGTGGGTGAAGGGGTAGTTACGCTTGACATGTTTGGTTTAACAGCACGGGTCTCACATGGATTATTACTGCTAATGACAACTGTAGCCTCAGTTTTTGGTGTCACTAATCACAGGCTTGTGTGTAAACAACCATGCAATGGATACGTGGCCGTGGTGTAAACGCTTACAAAATACCATTTGCATGAATCACTAAGAATTTTTTTTTAAACTGAGGTTTGTAGGACAAATGAAATCAGCTCTGGAACTAATCCTGCTTTGACTAGTTGTTCGCACGTCTCCCATGAAAAAAAAAAAAATGCATTGCCTCAAGTAATTTCTGCTGCAGGTAAGATACTGACTACTGATAACTCCACAGAACACCCCTTCAAAAGAATCTGAACTGTTCCTTTAAGGCAGTATGAAAACTACGGTAGTTGCCTGGAATCTCCTTTTTTTATTGCATTCAGTGAGTTCAGTATTTAGTATTTTGAGACCGAGGCGACCATGAACAGAGTTGGTGCCTAAAGCTGTAAAAATCACAGAACTTCGACACATTTCTTTAAGGTCTGATATCAGTTGGGCTCTATTTAAAACTCATTTAGACAGTATGGTACAGGAATAAAGCTGACCGGCTGTAAGAACGAGATCCACTGCAGAAGATGAAATTTCTTAAAGTGTAGTTTGTTGAAGCCACGGATGTTTCAAAACCGGTTCCTATCAGCCATCTGTGTCATTGCACTTGAAGTTCCTTCACGATGGCTTCACAGCTGACAAAAGATAACGCTGCCTGTCATTTTTGGTACAGTCTGTGAAGGTTGCGCTGAGCAAAACAAACAAAAGTGGCTGACGGTTTCCACTGACTGAACCAGCACAAAGCAGGTGTGTTCAGCTCCTGATTTATCTATATCCAATACTTAGAAATGTTCAACCTAAATATCCAGCTGCTGCTTTCTGTTCAGAGGTTTTTAAACACGAACAGGTCAGCTGTCATACCTCTGAGAGGCCGCTCTGTGGGGAGTAGGGGTTGTACGGTGAAGGTAACACTGTGAAGTTTCCAGAAGGTGAAGGAGCAGGTTCTCCTGTCAGCAGACTGTTGAAGACCACAGTCAAGGTGCCGTTGTCTTGATTTTCCATCTCAGGACTCAGGAGGAGCTCCGCCTTCTGTGATGAAGACAGCAGGTGAAGAACCTCCAACTGGGAGGGAAAACAGGAAGTGAAAGTAAAGGTTGAGAGGATAGAGAGATACAGTTAGGTATTTACTGTTCAAGACGTGATAATAAAATGTCATTCTGTTTTTAACTCAACATTATACAGCCCAGTATGTACCTGGTACTTACAAATATGGGTACCAGTCCTCTTTGTAGTCAGTAAGTACAGAGTATGTACCAGATGCATACCTAGTTCTTACAAAGTGCATACTAGGTAAATACTGGGTTCTTGCAGGATACTTACAGAGTGCATATAGGTACATAATGTCTATGTACAGGTTACTTGCAGGGTACATACCCAGTAATTACAGTGTATGTATTGGGTATTTGCCTAGTACTTACAGGGTTCGTACCTGGTACTTACCAAGGTTTGTACCACATGCAGTCCTCTTTGTAGTCAGTAAGTACAGAGTATGTACCAGATGCATACCTAGTTCTTACAAAGTGCATACTAGGTAAATACTGGGTTCTTGCAGGATACTTACAGAGTTCATAAGTACATAATGTGCATGTACTTACAGGTACATACCCAGTAATTACAGCATATGTATTGGGTATATAGCACTTACAGGTTAATTACATACCTAGTACGTACAGGGTTCATACCTGGTACTTACTATAAACTAGATATTTTCTCTGTACAAACCGTATAACAAATTAATTCTTAATACACTCGTAGGTACCAGGTAAATACCAGGGAATTGCTCTTTTATGTATTGCAACTAAAAACTGTGGTATGAAGTATTTCTGAAAGCAAAATAGTGATAGTAATATTGAAAATGTAACTGTGATGGAAATATATTCCACAATCTCCATCATTTCTTTTCATACTGTTGGATTTTCAGGGACTGACAACTTCTTGGTTTTACTCAGTTCCTCTGTTTTCTGGCCCAAGAGTCGAGGCAGTTCTGCCCAGGAATTAAATCTTGTCAGACCAAAAGGCCCTCTTCAGACCAGGCCTGTATCCACAGTTCCCTCAACTTCAGAGTGAGACCTTAGTCTTTAATTATTATCCTGAATGTTTTGTTTGAATGAAGTCTGTGAATCAGGTTTGTTTTTACGGAAAAAAATTGGTGGTTTTAAACTATAAAGAGTTCAAAGACGAGTCTGTTGAACTTACTCCATTAAAGACCACGTTGATGTTGGAAAAGTCATTCAGTCGGGCCATGGCTCTGAAGGAACCAAAGTTCTTCATCAGCCAGTCTTCGCTGCTTTCATACGGATTCACACAACCTTCAGAGAAAACGCACACACACATAGGACATGAGGATAGATACTGACATGGATCAAATAATCTATTGTGCATTAAAACTGCAGTATACAGGAACTTTAGCTGCTGTGTTTGTTCATGAAATAATACTTTTAATAAACAAAGCAGGTCAAGAGGAGCAGGTTGGCTGTGGTTCTGCATTTTTACAGTTTTTGTTTGATGATCTTGGTTTTTCACTTTCATCTTTTCGTTATCAACGTTTTCTGTCACTGTGCGTCTTGTTTTGAGGCCCCCTGTGGTCATTCATTTTTATTTATTACTATAGAGCATTTCTTTAATGCAATATGTTGTTAGTTTTGCATCATTTCCTCCAGATTATTCCGGAGTGATTTTGCCGATCACTGGTTTTATAGTTGTGTGAATGTTTATGAAGCATTCACACTATTGTGATACATTTTTCGTCTGTACGGTTTTTCAGTATTTTCGCGTTCAGTTTTTGTGCTATCGCAGCAAATCATATCAAAACGTTCAGCTCGTTCAGGACAATCCTGCTATGACTTTTGGTATTGGTGCAGCTTTAGCTTTTTGAAATATTTAGCCTTTTCTGCCTTTTTTTTTTTCTCATAGAAAATGACTTGAGCTCATTTTACCTCCTTCAAATCTTTAGATCTATTTACAACCTTTTACGGCTCCTTTCACATTTTGTTCTGGTTCAGCTTTTTTCAGCTTCCTTGTGCAAATTTAAACATTTTTCAGCTACTTTCAGTTAATTTCTGCGTTTTTGAGCTGTTTTGTGATCCTTACAGCTTATTTCTGCTATTTACAATACTATTTTTTGCTTATTCTAACTTCTTTCTGCTAATTTCAATTTATTATGCTCCTTTCAGCTTATTTATGCACATTTTGGCTTTATCTGCTATTTCAGCTACTATTTAGCGGTTTTTATCCTAATTTTAGCTTTTTCGACTAATTCTATGTTTTTTGCGCTCATTTCAACTTTTTTCAGTCTACAGGTAATTCAGCAAAAACATGCTCTCACTTCCTTTTGGTAACTTAACCGTCTTTCTGCTATTTTAGCTACTTTTCAGCTGTTTTCTTGCTTATTTCAGCTTTTTTTCAGATAAGTTCTGCTTTTTGTGCTCATTTCTCCTTTCAGCAAACCTGTTTTTCGTGCTTTCTTCTGCTAACTTACACTTGTTCTACCTTTCCAGTTACCTTTTTAGTCTTCTTAGCTAATTTCAGCTGTTTTCAAATAAAATCACATTTTTCATGGTAATTTCTGCTACTTTCAGTCAAATTAATTTATTTTTGCTAATGTCAGCTTGTTATGCTCCTGTCATTATTTTTTTCCTGCTAGTTTCAACTTTTTCAGCTATTTCAGCTACTATTTAGCTGTTTTGGTGCTAATATTAAACCTGTTCAGCTAATTCCAATTATTCTTTTTTTTAGCTCTTTTCAGCTCCCTCCACCTCCTTCTGATAGTTTAGGCTTCTTTTAGCCTTTTCAGCTACTTTTTAGCAATTTTTTTCTAAATTCAGCTTTTTTTAAGCTAATTTCCTAATTTTTGTGTTAATTTCTGCTTATTTTAACTTAATTCTGCAAATATGTGTTCTTTCTGCTTTCTTCTGCTAACTTAGGTTTGTTCTTCCATATCAGCTACATTTCAGCATGTATTCTTAAGCTAATTTCAGTTGTTTTTCAGCAAGTTCTTTAGTAATAAACATTCACATTGCATTTTCACCGGAAATTAAATTTCTCTAGTTTTAGTTATTATAATATAACCAAAATATTTTTTCTGTTATTATATTTCAAACAAAAGCAGCTAACATTGTGCTTTTAAAGAAATATATATTTTTGTTGTAGTTGTTATTTGCAGTTCAGGTTTCATGCATTGCAACAGACTAAACACTGTCCAAAACAGTTTTTTAAAGAGGTAAACAAGACAATGTGTTTTTGGAATTCATATACAATTTTTTTTTTTTCCAACTTTGTCTCTAAATTTCGCAATCACCTTCTCCAAATCGCCTGGCTCTGCGGGTCATTTTTTATAAACCAAGTCTCTCAACTTTTTACATTACAGCAGAAATGTTATCATTTTAAATAATTCATAAGTTTAATTGTTTTGCTTCAAAACATTACCAGAGACTCCATCTCCAGAGAGGAAGGGGTAGATGAAGAATGTGTAGATCCATTGTTGTCTGGTTGGACTTAGCTCAGAATAATGCTGACTCAGCTCCTTCAGGCTGCAAAAGAATAAAAAAAGTTAAACAGAAGCGGTTTCCACAAAAGTAGTTTTTTCTTTAAGTCCAAGGGGACAGAAACCGACGCACATGGTCTGATAGGCAGAGCAGCTGAAATTCTTGGTGCTGAGGCACGACAGGAATTGTTTGGTGATGGACTGCAGCAGAGGTTTCATCTTGACCTCCACCCACATCTGGACCAGCGCTTCATTCTGCAAAACATCTGCACCAGGTTTTAGTTCCAATGCTCCTTCCAGGCTCAGGAGAGGCACGCCCGTCATACTGGTTTTCTGCAGGAGCAGTAACAGTGAGGTGTTAAAGTACTTACATGTGTAACTAAAAATAGCATTTCTTGCAAAAATGCAGTTTGAATTCTTGTTGCAGAAGAACTTGCTGAAAAACAGCTTAAATTAGCTTAAAAAAACCTTGCTGAAATGAAAGTTAAATGGAAAACCAAGCGTAAGCTAGTAGAAGAAAACAGAATGAACACACATTTGCTGAAGGTTTAAATGAGCACAAAAATTAAGGAAATTAGCTAAAAATATAACTATAGCTAAAAGTAGCTGAAAATACCTGTAGAAGCTTAAACTACCAGAAGGAAGCAGAAAGAGCTGAAATGAGCTTTAAAAAATGTGGAATTAGCTGAGACTAAATTAGCATAATGATAGTTGAAATAGCAGAAAAACTGAAAGTAGCAGAAATACCTCGAAAGGAGCAAAACAAGCTGAAATTAGCAGAGAAAAGATAATTAGGCTGAAAGTAGCAGAATTTACCACGAAAGCTAGAATTTATCTGAAAACAGCTGAAGTTAGCTCAAAAATGTTAAAAAGTTATCTGAAAAAACAGAAGAAGTTTAAATTAGCAGAAGATACCAGAAAGAACCTGATTGCCCAATTAGTTTGATTGAAGCAGAGATGAGCACAAAAAAGTGTAAATTATCTGAAAAAAGCTGAAATTAGCAACAACAATGACACAAAAACAGAAGAAAAAAAAACCAGCTGAAATGTAACTAAAAAAGCAAGAGGAACCTAAAATTACCACAATAAAGTCGAGAGAGCACATTTTTGCAGAATTAGGCTGAAAAAACGTGCAAAAAAAGGGGAAAAGGTCAAAAAATCTAAAACTAGCATATAAACAGCAAAATAAAGTTGAATGAATGAAAAAATAGTAGCTGGAATAGCAGAAAAAGCTGAAACTTGCAGAAAAAAAGTTGAAAGGAGCAGAACAAGCTGAAAAATGTATGGGGAAAAAAATGAATCACAATTGTGTGAATGCTTCATAATTATTTACACAATAAGATTTTATGAGTTTCAAAAATAAGCAAACCATCTTTATTTATGTAGATTTATTGGATTGCAAGCCAGCTCCTTGCCATGAAACGGTAAAACGAAAAGAATAAATGAAACAAAAGGCAGAAGGAGCAGAAACACTTTAGTCAAACTGGAATTTGTGCAACATTTCTTGAGCTCGTCTGCTCAGTCGTACCATGAAGGTGTAAACGTCCCATGTCGCTCCAAGCATTTCCTTTAGCTTTTGCAAGTGATCTCTTCCTGTGTCCGTTGAAGGTAATCCAACACACTGCAGGAAGCCAGACGTTGCATTGTCCTCCTTTCAGTTTAAGACATAACAAATGTGAGAAACAACGAAGACATTTGTTGTGAATTATTGTGATCTAATATGTCAGGACACATAAAATGGCTTATTGAGGTTTTGCACCGTCTCAACGCTTACTCTCAG